TAAAAAAAGGTTTCGTAAGAGATGGTTCTGCTAGTGGATACTCCGCAGAACCTCCTAAAGGTTCTGTCGAATTTTTTATCCTTTTTTTGAGACTTTGGACACATTTGGATGCTTTTACAAATCTACAGAACCTTTTCGGAGGGTTCTGCAAAACTCCTTTTTTTAGAGAGCACACACCCACACCCCACACCCACACCCTTTTGCTTGTTTATTGTTATACTAATATGTAAAACCTACACTTAAATGTTCCATTCATTTTAAATTGGTGATAATTACTTCGATGTTTCATAATTTTCAAATTTCAATAACAGTATATTTGGCCAGTAGAAATCGTTATTTAACTATTGCCTCAATTAAAATTGAAATTATATTTTTTCTTGTTTCGTTTACATTATCAGCATGTCAATCATATGCATAATGATTAAAAAAAATCACACTAACGCTGTCCTTGTTGTCGTTTTCGTTCTTGTTGGAGAGAATGAAACAAAATTATACAACGTATAAGACAAGGTATCTAATGCAATGAAACTCCAGTCACGCTTCATGTGACACGTAAATGAAAGTGGACAAAAAAAAATCATACGATCAGTGATGTTGTGGGTTTTTTCCCTTTAATTTATTTTTGATAAGCATACCTTCAATTACCAATAGGCATATTTTGTTATTGACTGTCAACGAAAAAACAAAATATTCATATTTGACGTCAGAGAAAAATCTAGAAAAAAAACAACGTGCATCAAATGTATAAATACAAAAGGTAAACTCTGTCCAAACAGCCATCTACTATTTACGATACGCAACTACCTATCGCACACGAAATATCACATAAAAAATGAGTCAACAACCAAGACGACGCCTTCCTGAAAACTACATGGTTATTTGGGTTGATGGAAATATGGATATGACCAATAAAGATTGCCAAAATACAATGGAGCAATTGCGTGGTGTCGTCAACCTATGTACAACGGCTGAAGAATGTATTCAACAGCTGAATGAAAATCCTGAAGAGATATCATTTGTGATCTCCTCAGGTGCACTTGGACAACATCTGGTACCAAGCATCCATGGCATGGCAAAATTGAATGCTATATTCATATTTTGTAGTAAGAAAGAACAGCATCAAGTATGGACCCAAAATTAGTCAAAAATCCAAGGTGTTCATACGACAATCAAACACATATGTGAAAAGCTGACAATTGCTATCAAACAGTGCAATCAAGATAAGGTATCTGTGAGCATTGTTGGTGCAAATGAAGGAAGTTCTAGCAAAGATCTGGATCAGCTAGAACCTTCGTTCATGTATTCACAGATATTCAAGGAAATACTCCTTGAAATAGAACAAGATCAGCCGTCAGCCGTTCAAGATTTGGTCAAGTATTGCCAACAAGAATATCAAGACAATACGACAGAACTCAAAATTATTGAAGAATTTCAACGAACTTATCAACCGTCCAATGCCCTATGGTGGTATACACGCCAATGCTTCACATACAAAAT